TCAGACTTCCTGGCTAGATGATAAGGTCCATGAGGACAGGGAATATGTGCATAACATGCAGCACATAGTAGATATGCAGTAAATATTTGTTGAATGAGTGGATGATCATCTCCCTCATGGACTGATACCAAGAGGGATCCTGGTGGACCACCTCAGGAGCTAAGGATGCCATCCTTAGCACCATCCCTTGGCAGCCAGCCCAATTCTCTCTTGCTCAGGCCAATTGTCCTAAAATATAGCACAGGGAGATGGGGAAAGCTCAGTTGTCAGCTGGCCAATGGCCCCAGTGTTGATATGACAGGGCTACATCTCACTGACATACTCAGGCCACCAGCAGACTCTACTTCAAACTGAAAGTTTCCTAAGAGCAGCTGAGAACTAGGCAGTTTCGACTATATCCAGTTGGCTGCAAAGTGGGTGGATCCTCTCCCCTTTCCTGGAACCTGACCTCTAGAATGCAAGAAAGTGCTAGGGAGCTTCACAGGATGGAAAGTTGATTTCTGTCCCTAAGAGGGGGACCTGGTAAAGATGGGAGAGTCTTCTTATATACGTATACATTTGTATGCCTTCTGACATTGATCAGCTCCTACTGTGTGCCCTCCCTTGACAACCACTGTGAATTCAAGATGAATAAGACAGTCCCTGCCTTGAAGGAACTTGTAGCCCAAGGGGGATGGAGGGGATGGAGGGAAGATAAGGCAGCAGAGCTATGCCCTGTGATGGTCCCAATGACGTCAGTTATAAGATTTCAGAAGAGGGGGAGGTCATTTCTGAGCTAAATGATAAGAAACGGCTCCTTGAAAAGAAAATAGATTTAACTTTTCTTAAGTGGCAAGAAGGAAAGAGAATTTAGAGGAAATGGAAAGATCAAAAGCACAAAGGCAGAAAAATTCATGGCAGGTGCAAAACTGGCATGTAGACCGGTATGAGGGAGTCGAGGAACCAAGATTCATTGAGCCTCCATGTGTGGATGACTGGGTGAGAACTCTGGCAGACCCCACTGCTTACCTGGTTGCTCTAAGGTAGTACAGACAGTTCTTCAGTCACCTCACAACATAAAACACAGGCTTATTTAGAAATCAAAATGCCCTATCCAGTCAAAACTTGAATCTTGCTTGAAAGTTAGGGCTTCTTTCCCTCCGCTCCTCTTACCACATTTGGCCCTACTGCAGAGCCTGAGATCAAGGAAAGAGTGGTCACTGATCTCTCTCCTTCTTCACCCAGCTCTCCTCCTCTTCTTCCTCTTGCTAACTTCTGACCCTTCAAGGTCTTAAGTACAGGGAGGGAGAAGAGGCCAGGAGAGCAGGAGAGTTCTTACTTGGCCAGGACTGTTGTGGTGATCTCTGGCTTTGGTATTTTCTGGATGTGACAAATATTTAAGGCTTACTATTTCTCACAGGGGACACTTCTGTGGTTTCTTTGGAGATCTACCTTTCTCCCCACCCCTTCCACTATGGCTGGGAATCTTTCACCTTGACTAGGACCTATGCATCTCCATTCCAGGAGTTCAGTTACTCCTTTCTCTGCCCTTGAGCATATCGAGATACCTGCAGCTTCTTTCTGCTGAGTTCTATTTACCCCTCCAAGCAGCCCTCTAGGACAAGATCTAAAATGACCCACATGGGTTCTGTTATATAATGCTAACTCTAGTCTGTGTGCAACGCTCATGCATTTTTTGCCCCAGCAAACTCTGAGAGTACAGGCTACCCAACGCTGTCACTTCACCTTTGTTCTGCCATCAGAGCAGCTAACCAGCCCATTGTTCATACTTCAGATTTTCCAGGTAGGAGATAGACACTAATCCACTGTGCTTCCCCAAAATGGGAGTAAATTTCAAGTGTTCAATGTAGTATCACTAAAACCACTCTCTCTTGACTTGGGATGAAAAGCGAACTTTCTTTGCAGGAGGGTGAAGTGAGATGGTACTCAAGATACACCAAAAGCACATTCCAAAAACTCTCTGCTAATAATCAACCACCAACTTTTCTATATCCAAAGTATAGTTGAGGAATTAAGAATTGTGTAACCTGTTTTCATCCTCGTCTCTTGAAAGTCCTGCATCGTTGTGTTCTCAGACTTTTCTTTTAAATGCAATATCTATTGCATCAGTACTTTAGCCAAAATTCCTTTTTAATACTTTGTTGCATTATTTGTTATTTCCTTTTGTCGTCACTATAATCCTATAAAGTAGATAAAACTATTCCCATCTTAGATAATGGAGCACTGAGCTTCAAATTGACCAAAGTGGCAAGAATAGGTTTGAATCCAGATCTCTCTGACTCTAGAGCTCTTAGACCATTCTAGAATAAAGGATACATGTGGCTCAGCATACATACTGGATAAATATTCATTGAATGCCTAAAAAGCTGATTTGCTTAGATTCTGGAGGAATGTAAATGCCTTGATATTAATTGATAGAGAGTGAGAAACTATTGAAGAGTCACAGATGGCAGTGAAAAACAGGAAAATGTGACAGAGATAGACAAAAGAATGTAGAAGGGAGAAAGTGGAGAGGGAGATGCACTTTAGGAGGCTATGAAAGAGTTCAAAGAGTAAGTTATAAAAGACATGGTGAGTGATGCTTTGTTATTAATGAGGATAGAAGCCAGGTTGAAAGAAATTAAAGAGAGAATGGTGACAAGGAAATAGAAGCAGCAGTTACATACCAGTTATCCAAGATGTTGACATCTGAATGGAGGTACGGAAATAGGTCGCAAGCCAGAGGAGCTAGAAGGATCAAATAAAGGATATTTTTCCAGGATAGGTGAAACCTGATCTTACTTTTAGACAGAAGAGCCAGAAGATAGAGAGACTCTGAAGGTTCTGGAGAAAGGAGGAGCAGTTATTGAGAGAGCAAGGACTAAGGGGAAGTAAAATGAGAAGAGGTTAACATAGAAGAAAATGAAGGATACATCTTCCTCTAAGACAGGAAAGGAAGCGAGAAGGTGGGTAAATAGACACTTCTGCTGCAAAAGAAAAGAAAAGAAGAAGAAGAAGAAGAGAGGCTGGAGGAGATTGTACCTGATATAGTAAATCTTTGTCAGTAAAATAGGAATCAAAATAATGGATCAGGATTTGGGGACCAGGAGGTGACAGCATCAGTGTTTGAGGAAGAGTTTGAAACACCTATTGTGCTATATGTGTTCAGAAATCAATTCTGGAAATCAGCAGTGGATGAATAAGTACCACCAACAGTCCAGGGCATTGAGGTTCAACAGTCTGATTTCACGGAAGTCCAAATCAACAATATTCTGTGTCCAAAGAGCAAAAGGAGAGAAAGCATGTGGCAAGCATTATCCCAAGCTGGGCACTGTAGGGCCTGGGCTGAGGGCTGAGAGGGTTTAGTTAGCAAAAGTAGGATTAAAATTTCCAGTTATGGCATCCAGCAGCACAAGAAAGCCAAATGGAACCAGAAAAAAATTGACAGCTTTTTTAAATTATCCCGGGAGGTCTCAATGGAGACAAGCATTTGCTGCATTGGATTTGGGGAAATGGGAAAGGTATAAGTGAAGAGATTTATGGTTATAGACTAGGCTTACCGGACTCAGACTCTCAGAAGTAGAACAGCGCCTGGTCACCCTAATGCAGGTGTGGCCTTGTTAGTGAAGAGGTTGTATGAAACAGAATGGGAAGTCTTTAGCTTCAGCTCCCCATGGTACATAACCTCTCTGATCAAACTGTGAGGCAACCATGAGCTCAGGGACTGGGAGACAAAGAAGCAGAGATTTACAGAGAAGCATGTCTTCAAACAATGAGAATCAAAGTAAAAGGGGCGCCATAGCTGATGAAAACTCCAGCTTACCATAGGACATATTTTACCTTCCTTCCTACAATAGCCGTTTTTTACTACAGGATCTGAATGGGAATATTTGGGGCAATGATATGCTATAGTCATCCTAAGTTTTAAATGTTGTTTATAGATTGTTTCTATCAAACATACAACCTCTATTATTTTCAACACAAAGACCAGAGACCTTGTTTATAATATATACTGCCTCTGAGCATGACCGCACGTAAACTTTCTTAGAAATATTAGCTACGATTCCCTTTCATATGTCCAGGAAACAGTGTCATAGAAACCTTTAATAAAGACACAATGAAAACATATGGTTGTGGCTTCCTTTTGGCAAAGTGGGCCATCTTCATTCTGAAAGACAGCCATATTAAGAGATCTTTATATGTAGATTTTTGTCTCACCTTTGCCTACCAGTGGCCATAGGTCTCAAGTCATAGGGTCTCCAGTTAACTAACACATAACATGGTACCGTTGAAATTAGACTATTAAAGTCTTTGGGGAAGGAATAAAAATCTGTGATATCTAAATCACTAAAAGAAATTGAGTCACAAAATTACTTGCCCAAGGTCACAAAGTGAATTGGGGCCACAGACAAGAATCTTTGGGTCCTCCTTAGGAAGTTTGTTTAAAACCCTCAGAGGGGCCGGCCCGGGGGCGCAAGCGGTTAAGTGTGCACGCTCCGCTGCGGCAGCCTGGGGTTCGCTGGTTCAGATCCCGGGTGCACCCCGATGCACCACTTGGCAAGCCATGCTGTGTCAGCATCCCATATAAAGTGGAGGAAGATAGGCACGGAAGTTAGCCCAGGGCCAGTCTTCTTCAGCAAAAAAAAAGAGGAGGATTGGCAGATGTTAGCACAGGGCTGATCTTCCCCACAAAAAATAAAAAAAAAAACCTCAGAGTATCTTGATATTGATATCACCTCAGAGGCAGAATCTTGTGAAATTTAGGATGATGACATCAATCTGAACAAAGTTCCAAAATTGGCCATCAGTTGCCCCTCCCAGCTCCTTGAACCTTAATGAAAGCTATTTTGGGAGACAGTGAGTGAGATCAGGCAGTGGGTGTCCAGCTATCGTCACTGGGCAAACCTCAGCCGAGTATCCAGCAAAATCCTTTAGGCTTCAGTCGAGAATTCCAGGAAGGAGACCTAAGATTTCCTTTCAACATTAACACCTTGTCCTTCTGGCTCTTCTCTCCCTTGCAGCTCCGAATGTCCTGGCTCATCCGTGGAGTCTTAAGGGGAAACGTCTCCTTGGTGCTGGTGGAAAACAAAACCGGGAAGGAACAAAGCAGAATGGTCTGGCATGTGGCCACCAATGAAGGCTTGAGCCTGTGGCAGTGGACAGTGCTGCCTCTCCTCGATGTGGCCGACAGGTGGGTCTCTAACCATCCCCATAACTCCCTTTCCCTCCATCAGCCAAAATGCAAAAGGGGGCCATGGCTTCCCTGCCCCCATACCTCTACCCAAGACACACATCCAGATGTGCACACAGACAAATGTGTACACACACGTGCATGCACACACACACATACTTTCTGCATACTTACAGGAATCACTGAGTTTCTCCAAGGGATTTCCATGCTAGTGAGCATTTATTTCTCACATCTCTGACCTGGCCTGGTTGGCTGCCTCCAGTATCTGTAGGAAGAAACAAAATTGAACAACTCATATTTTTCCCAAATAATAATCAGACTTCGTATGTATACAGCATTTTCTCTTAATTAATGGATTTTTGCCTTACTTTCCCATTTGACATATTATGTATTCCTTATTAACAACAACAAAACCTGTGACGTAGGTAGGACAGGCCTTATCATGTTCCCCATTCCTGCGCTTTTACGAGCTTCTCATCTGCTGAGAACCAAAGAGGTGAAGCACCAGCAAGTTGGCATCAGAGTGAGGACTGGCGCTCAGGCTGGTCCAAGTCCAGTGCTCTGTGGAGTCAGATCTCTGGGGCAGGTGGATGACAAATTCTTCAGTTAACAGAGGAGTGCTTCTACTAGAGGCCCTGGTTCCTATTTGGGTTCTATCACTAATGACCTTTGTGACCTTGAACTTCTCTGGGCCTCAGTTTCCTCATCTTTAAACCGAGAGGGTTGGACTAGAAGATCGTTAACTCCATGTGGCTCTAAAATGGAGCAGTAACCACTAAGTTCAGCTGCCACTTGTCTCCCAGGATGGCACCAGTCTGCCACCTGCAGTCGGCCTGGAGCAAGCAGTGCTTGAGTAAAGATGGCCCGGCACAGCAGCTCATGTGACGCTCTGCTGTGTCATACTGAACCCCAGACAGTTGGTGCTGATCTGTTCCAGACAAAAAAGGCTGGACGGGGGAGCAGGTCATTTCTATAAAGGGGATAAATAAATGGATCTGGAAGGGGCTAAATGTCCCTACAATCCAGAGAAGCCTCTGCATTAAACTCCTAAAAACATGTTCATGTTGCCATCCTAGTGGATCTACTTTAAAAAAATGAGGGCAAAGGGCTTAAGTCAAGGCAGAGGGTATTTCAATTGGCACCCAGCTTTGTAATATAAAGCTGGGTCTCAGATTGGTTACCTAAACTTCAGAGAGTCTGCTGTTTTCAAGAGCTTATAACTCGAGCTGTGCTGTCATAGGAAGAAGCCATCGTCCTCACTCTGGGCACCAGCTTCCCACTCCTTCAGATGTGTGTGGGTTAAAGATCAAAGCCCTTGGACATCCCAAGACTCAGTGCTGCCCACAGGACAAATGGATTTAATTAAAGTGAAGGAAGGGGCAGTGTGGGCACTCCCCACCATAGACTAGTCTTTTGTCCTGTGGGATTGTGGGGGCTGTGTGCAGGGGATGGAGAACAGGAGATGATGCCAGAGCCCTCCCTCCTGGGAGATGCTAAATTAATTCAGATGAATCAAAGGGATTTTTTTCCTCCTCAATCCAGCAAGTCCTCTCGCTGTCATAGACACTCCAGGGGATTTAAAGCAAGTAAGATGTTGACACTGTTCACTCCCATCTGCTAGAGTTTCATTTGAAGGAGACTTTGTTCTCAGCCTCCTTCCTTCCTGTTAAAGGCTGTTTACCAGACTGACGTATCCAATATTGATACTGAGACCAAACTGTCCAGTGGGGATTCAGACAAAGGCCAGCTTGGTCTGAGGATGCCTTATGACCTAATAAGTGTGCAATTACAGAACACACGGGTGTCCCCATTCACCGGAAGCCTGCACACCACTGCTATGCTCTGATGTGGGAAGCTGCCCCCTCAAACCCAAGATGATATAGGAGGCCTCAAGACCCAGAGGCAAATGGAACTGCAGAGAATGAGGCATAGCAGTTTTTCCTTCCTAAAATCCAGCTAGACTGTAGATATAACTGGCCTATAAAACTAAAGTAGCACTGTGGATAAAGGAGCATAGGCTTTAGAATCAGAGAGTCCCAAGTTTAAAAACTGGCTCAGCCACTTACTAATTGTGTGACCTCAGCCAACTACGGAACCTCTCTGAGCCTCAGTGTCCACATCTGTAAAATGAGTATAATAACAGTACAACTTCGCAGGATTGTAATGAGACTAAATAAAATGATTATCAGAAGCATCTATATATAGTAGATATTAATAAATTTTATTTTCCACTTCCTCCACCCTCAGCTCTCAGTTAGGTAGCCTCAGATAATTTATTGAATAAATAGCACAAATCACAACCACTAATCTTCTAAGTCAAGCCATGATTATAAAACAGAGATAATAAAATCTACCTCTTAGGGGCTTGGGGGAGTAAAGTGCTTGGTGAACTGCCTTGCCTACAGTAAATACTTAGTCAGTAATAACTAATAATATCTATAATATAATAATAACAATATCTCCCCACTTAATGCCTCAGAAGAGGCTGGGATGGCCAATTTAGCAATAATAACCAGTCATCCAACTCTAAGATGGAGTGAGGATTCTTACAAATTTGCCGTCATCAATGCTCTGTAGAATCCTTATAAGGGGAACTCACTGATGGAGGAGGAGCAAGAGGCACACTCTTCCCTCTCTCTTCCAGGGAGAGAGAGCTATAGCTGCCCAGATTGCCAGAAAATGAAAATGGGAGGAGAAAGAAGGCAGAGGAAGGAAATAAATAATGTAAAGAGGAAAAGAAAATGGATAAAAGATAAAGAAAGACCAACTCCCTTCCTTCTGACCCTGAGGTAGGCGTTAGCACCTTGCACCGCTTGCTCCCCTCCCATGAAGCTTCCTTAGGCAGGTCCTGGCATCAGCTCTTCAGCACCCGCCTCCTGGACAGCTCCCCAACCATGGCCTTGGAAGAGGCAGAAACTTTATTCCCTATGCCGTCCCAAATCACCTCTGCTCCTAGCTTCCCCATCCTTTTTTAAAATGACTTCATTAGGGCTTACAGGTAAGCCCTAAAGTGCTCTCGGGCTCTAGACAGTGGTCATAGCCCCTGGACATCACATGAAACTAGCCTAAGCTAGTCCTCTTGCCTCTTGCCTTGTCCTCTTGCCTTGATACAGCAGGGACCTCCCAACTTGTCTCTTTGCCTCCATTTTTTGTCCCCACCCAATCCAGTCTACACAAGGCAGCCGGAATAAACTTTTTGAAATGTAAATATAATCATTTTCCCATTTTAAAAATCCTTTCATGGCTTCCTGTGGGTTTTAGGGTGCTGTTCAAACTCCTTTAATAAGACCTTTATTTAGGCCACGTGTGGTCTGTCCAACCTAATTTCACCATCCCCTATTCATACCATTATTCCTCTATTATTCTACCCAGTAGCCTCACCGACTTTCTTTCAACTCAGTTGTACCATGCTAAATTCTTACTTCCAGGCTTTTGCACCTGCCATTCTCTCCACCTGAAATTTTCTTCTTGTACTTTTCATCTCTACCACTCTTCCTTCAATTTTGAAGAAGCTTCCCCAGACCCCTAGACCCACAACATATTCTCATGGCTCTTGAAACATCCCTATTCTAACCTGTCACTCTTTACTACCTGTTTTTTTAATATCTGAATATACACACCAACAAGGCAGGGATCAGGTCTGTCATATATCACTGTTAGCTGAACATTTAGTACCATGCCTAACACCCAGTATGTCCAACAAACATGTGTTAACAGAATGATGAAATGAGAGAAATTGCATATATTTCCAAATTCCAGCTGAAGTAACTGAGAATTTCACATGTTGGAATCCATCTAACATTCCTCCTCTGTTCAACCTGTGTCTAACAAAACAGATAAAATCACATTATAATAAATACTACTGCAAAGTATTCTGTATATGAAAGCAACACCTGTGTCCCATCAGATGAACCCAAACAGCATTTGTTACTCTTGTGACAAGGAATTCTCTTTAGAGACTTGCCTGGTACCTGTGCTTTCTTGGTCTCTGGTCACTGTCCTGTCGGAATCACTTTATAAGAAAGACTTTGATCTTAATTGTGTGCCCTGGTCCTCGCGAGTAGGGAGATCTAGACCTGAACACTTGAGAGCAAAGAGCTATATTCAGATTGATCCTACCACAAAGTAGTCCTTCTGCAAAGGCTCAGAGAATATGCCATAGCTATATAAAGGCTGATGACAGGGGGACATTGATTCATGGAATGATATTTCTTCTGCCCCTTTACAAATAGGAAAAGTGATAGAAATAATGCCATAGTCTGTCATCATTACGAAATGATATTAACTGTACAGCCATACTATAAAAGGTAACAGGAAAAGTCTCCAAGAGCAGTGCCCAAGATGTTTTGAGCAGTGGCAACATTCCTGGAATACAGATATGTGCTCTCAAGGTAATTTTGAAGTAATTCAAACATTGGTTGGATGTGTGCTTAAAAGTTATCTCATTAGTTTATATCTACCTCATGTAACTAGTTTTCTTCATTCTCTCCCCAGTTCATCAGCTCCTCCCCCTCCATTCAATTGCTACCCTTTGTGTCAGAATTAATTCTACTTTTTCTCAAAATGGAAGAAAGACAAGTTCTTTCCCCTTATTTTATATATTTAAATTAAACACAATGTTCCCACACCATCCTAAGCTTTGACATGCTTACAGAGCAGAAGTAAGCACTAAGTTCAACTCATTATGAGGTGTATTTGGAAACATCATGGGTCAAATCATGTCCCACAAATCACTGCAATTGTACAGCCAAATAGAAAGTACATAACTTATAGCAAATGTGTAGGCTCCATTCCCCAGCATTATCATTATAAAGGCTTTTAGCTGTACACTATATACATAGTCTAACAAGAAAAAATTTTCCCTCTGGAAATATTTAGATTTCCTGTTCCCTTGGCATCCTTTGTCCTAAACGACAGGTGGTTCGTTTCACAAATGCATCTTTCAAATGGGATCGGTTAAAGAGAGTTATGTCTTCATGTACTCAGACCAGAAACTCCAC